GGAATCCACGGCCATAACGATCCTTGTCCATTCGAAAAATCCCGGATGTCGTCTTTTGGGGCCAGACCAGTGGTTGTGGCACCGGTAGTGTGAAGTCGCAGTTGCTTGGTGCCAGGATTATGGGATCGGCGGCTTCCGGCAGGTGTTAGTGAAATCCGCGGTTTCTCAAGTGACTTGAGTTCTGGAATGTAAAACGGGAAGGTGGGATATGGTCGGGGTAAGCGACTTGATGCGTATGAATAACGAGGCAAGTATGCGAAATAAGAATGTGTATATTGCTTTTGCTAAAGAGTGTTTTAGATCTTTTTTGCAGTTTTGCAAAATATTTTGAATGAAACACACACTTGTCATGAGAGGTGGATAACACGCATGCCAAGGAACAGAGCAAACATTAACAAAACCTGAAAAGCGGATTGGGCGTTTGGCCCATCTACCGCGCCGGTCAGTCGGCTGGGGTTGGGGATAGATTGGCGGAGGGTCAAGAGTAACAGACGGGTCTAGTGTGTCTCGTGCGAAAGCTGCAGCTGCCGGTGTATTTACCTTTGCGACTTTACCAGGGAACGTTCGGGTGACCTTCGAAAACTGCTACCTTAAGTCGATCGATGGACACCGTTGTTCGGTGACCATTCGGGCCTAAGGTAAATGCTTAGGAGTTCGTTGGAGAACTCTGTAGAGACCGGTGTGGTGAGCCTGAATGAGACGACGCACGAAGTCTGTGCGGAGGAAAACGTGAGTGCAGTTAGAGAGCTCACTGTGCATTTACACATCTGTGGTGTGCTCACAAGGAGTGGTCGGGCGCATCGTATGCGTACGTTGAGCAAGGGAGGCTGCGAAGTTTGTCGGTGATACACACTATAGCGAGGGGGCGAGATGAATTCTCCTGACAGCTTAAGCGTTCTGCTGTAGACCAACTTTACTGGTTCGCATTGCAGGTCAGCTTTGATGCCATTGCAGATAGCTAGAAGTACTAACGGAATGTTTTCGCTTCAGTCAGGGTCAGAAGTGGCACAGAGAGACGACTTAATCTGTCCATGAAAGTGTACGACTAGACTATGCGCCG